TACTGAGAAATTGGGGCAAGACTCTTATTTATACTTTGTAGCCCTCACTAAGGGTTACTGGCAGATTCCCCTGTGGGCATCCAATAAGGAGCAAATTGCCTTTACAATGCTGTTATGCCTCTACCAATTCACATAAAGTGAAAAGACCAGCATGCTACTTATATACCACCCCACAAACTCTCTGAACAGTTTACAATTTAATTATGCAGGCTACGCATTCCTCACCCACTCCAGCAAGCTGGGTACTCAATTTACCAACCTCTGAAGGATGAAAGTCTGAGTGAATCTCAAACTGGCTGCTTGGGATTAAACACGGGTTGTGAGCAGGGTTTTGGCTGCAGGGTTTTGGTTTAACCACTGAGCCAAGTTTTGACTGACTGACTGACTGACTGACTGGCTGACTGACTGACTGACTGACTGACTGGCTGACTGACTGACTGACTGACTGACTGGCTGACTGACTGACTGACTGACTGACTGGCTGACTGACTGACTGACTGACTGACTGATTGATTGATTGATTGATTGATTTGATCTGATTTGATTTGATTTGATTTGTATCCCGCCCATCTGGGCTATGCAACCACTCTGAGTGGCTTCCACTATAACATAAACAATTAATAAAATAACACAAAATTACATAAATCTTCAAATGAGAAAAATAAAGTAAAAATAAATAAATAAGAAGAAAAAAGGTAAGAAGAAAGAATCAAGTATTGATGGGAGGAAAGGCCTGAATAAACATCAATGTTTTTAATTGGCTTTTAAAGATACCCAGTGTAGGGGCCGCGCGAATCTCTGGAGGGAGGTTGTTCCAGAGGTGAGGAGACATCTCCGAGAAGGACCGATTTTGTGTCTTTTCCTCCCGGGCCTCTCTTGGCGTCAGGCTCCTCAGCCTCACCTCCTGACTTGCATGGATGATCCAATCTTGTAATTGTGCATTTGGTTTCTTTTTTCAAAGTGTAGAACTTTGCACTAATACCTGTTTAATTTCATTCTGTTGTTATCCGCCCAGTGCTCAGGCTTATCTAGACCACTTTGAATTTTGTTTCTGTCTTCCAGAGTATTAGCTATTCTACCCAGTTTTGTGTCATCCACAAATCTGATAATTATTCCCTGTGATCCCTCATCCAAGTCATTAATAAAAACTGAGCTTTGTGGTACTCCTCTTTTCCCATTTTGACAAGGAGCAGTTGATAAACACTCTCTGACTACATTTCTGTAACCAATTGTGTATATACCTGATAGTTGTTCTGTCCAGCACAGACCTCAAGTGTGTCTACATGGTCAAAGGCTGCAAGATTTACTCTGCTAATAAAACAGGTGAATTGGAAGTATTTTTGCTGACGAAATGATGCAAAAGCTGAATAAAATCATTCTTTTTGCTCTCAATGTGTCTTTTTCCCCCTTCTGTTGTTGGGGGACTTCTACTTTTTTTCACCAGAATGAATCAATCAGTTTTTTTCCCCTTGCAGATGTTCTTGTAAAGATGAGTGGTGTTTTGGATGATATAGGCAGTTGGGGTGTGATGTTTAGGCCCTCATTCTTTTCTCTTCCCCCTCCTATCATCCTTCGACGTATGTGTGATTTCTTCACTCTCTCTGAGCTGGAGAATCCAGAGTAGAAGCAGCCACCTTTTCTGAAAGATTGTGTAATATTTTCCAGGCATTGTAGTGAACCATAAAAAGATTGGGAGAGAGGGAAACAAAGAAAGAAAAGAAAGAAGTGTGGCTCTAGGCTGGAATGTGAACTGCATCACATCTTGTGTGAATGGTGAATTCAGTATACAACATCTGTGTGAGCACTGATTGGGGTTTCAGATGAAGTACTGGCTGTGAATCAAATTTCAGCAAGCCAAATCATTCTGATTCAGCTAACTAACTCTCCTAGTTAGTTTGTTAATCATAATATCATGGGGTACTTTGTCAAAAGCTTTGCTGATGATATATAGCACTTAAAACATTCCCATTGTCTACTAGGAAGGCCTACTTATCAAAGAATGAGATAAGATTAGTCATGTTGGCCTTTAGTTATCACTGCACTGTGTTCAAGATGCTTGCAGAGTGACAATTTTATAATCTGCTCCATAATTTTCCTTGGGATTGATGTCAGGCTAACTCTGGCTCTCCCCAGTCCTCTCCCTTGAGCTTTGTGTTTTTTGATGACAGCATGGAGAAGCCACTACATACATACAGACACCTTTACAGTGAGCCCTGAGAGTAGAAGAAGATGGATGCCCAAGCTTTAAAGAAACCTCACACCCAGTAATCAAAATTCAACCTCTTCTGATGTTACATGCCCTCGGATTTATCTCTCCAGCTGGAAATCTGGAGGAGCATAAAAATGCACTGAGACTTCAGTCACTGCCTTGTGACTTGACATCCCTAATAATTGATCATGACTTGTCTCATTCCCTGAAGCAATTTGCCCTCACTGAAATTATGCTTTACTCTTCTGATACTGTTGCTGCTGCTTCCCTCAATTTCCTACTCAACTCTTCCTGTAGGCTGTTACTGCTGTGAGTAACCTTCACTTTTCAAGATGTACCAACTCTATCCATAGTTCAATTTTGCCCTTCCCCCGTACCTCCCTACCAATGTATTGTATTAGCCCCCACCCCAACATACACTCTTCAGATTCTCTAGCCCTGTGCAGGTTCATCACACTAGCAGACGTTATGTCACCCACAGCCCCACACCCTAGGTTTCTACTCTTATAGAATGAATTTCTGTGACAGAGAGGCATTTCTATTGTAATCACAAAGTTACACAGGATTCAGAAACCTATTGCAGGTTTCTGAATTATTTAGAAACCTCTCTAAGCAGAGCTGTTCAGACAAATGCCTCCCTGCTATAAGCATTGGATGGAGTTATGGTTGACATCAGGGACAAGCATACTTGGTGCACCCGTGTTTATGGTTGTGTCATGGTAATCCATGCTTTCAGATAACCGTGGTCTTCTGAGAGACTCATTGCCTGGTTCACTCTTTGTGACAACCCTTGTACTTTGCTCCTTGGTGATTTCAATATTCATGATTTTCTGCTTTCTGTCTACATTCACTGACCACTTTCTGTTCTCTAGTATTGTTTCAATGGAAATCATTTCTTTTTAAGAATCTGGTTTAAAGGAGAATATTCCCCCTAAAATCAACAGATGATCAAAGGGGGCACTGTAGTAGGTGACAATTGCAAAAGTGGAGTGTGAGTAGGGTTCCATGTGCAAATAATGGGTTTAACCTGAAGGAATGAATTTTATTTGTGATGACAATGCTTTGTCATAGATTCCTCCTTAGAGCTCTGAGTGACCAATCAAATTCTTGGTTGAGATGCCTTGCCTGGATTAAAGCCTTGTATTTACGATTGTTCTGCATATTTTGGAGTTCCTATGCTCACTAACAGGAGTGAAAGATCCTCTCACAGTATACACCGAGAGAAGACTGACTAATCAACTTTATTCCTTGTGTGCCCTGACATATACAGTGATGCCTTGCTAGAGGAAAATAATTTGTTCTGCGAGTCGTTTCGTATTGCGAAAATTTCATCTTGCGAAGCACAGTTTCCCATAGGAATGCATTGAAATTTAATTAATGTGTTCCTATATGTCTTTCGAAGCACGGCCATAGAAAACTTTGTCTTGCGAGTCACCAAAAAAAACGCAAAATGCTTTCATCTTGTGAGTTTTTCATTGCACAAGGCGTTTGTCTTACGAGGCATCACTGCATTATACTGGCACATGGAAGCTTCTAGAATCAAGGTGAAACACTTTGTTTCTGCGAGGCTATATATATATTTTCTAAATGAGTATTAAAAACACAAACTTTACAAACATGTTTTTTATATATAAAACAATAGTAGTAATATAAACACAGCCCCAAACTGGATGCTGTAATTTGTACACCTCAAGTTCTTTTCACCAGCACCAGAGCAGGAGCTGCTTGTAGGAACAAGGAAGAAGGCGAATGTCTCTTTGAAGCAAAATAAAAACACAACCCCATATATTTAACAATCAAAGTAAGACAATTTCATCTAAATGAGATTAACCGCACTGAGTTTTAGACAGTTTGAGACAGTCCTGGAAAAAGATGTGAAACAGATTGCTATCAGCTATAGACAATTCACTGTGTGTTGTAGTGAATAAAGTGACAGACTAGGACTTTGGAGAACAGGGTTCAAATCCCCACTTGGCCATGGAAACTCTTTGGAGGACTGAAACTGGCAAAACTACTCCTTGAAAATCTCACTTACTTTGAAAGCCCTGTTAGGGTTTCTATAAGGTAGTTTTGACATTTTAGCTACGGACAGAGTTTGTGTTCAGGTTTGTGTCTCAGCCATCCCTCTACCCATTTGCTGGCGGGATTGATTACCCCAGCTTTAATGAAATTTTGAATCTCATTGCAATTTTAAGCATAATCCATGCTGTTATTTTCATATTACTGACTTGTATAAGTAGTGGCATGGTGCTGCAAAAGCTAAGAAGAATACAATTGTCTTGTGATATTAGGTGTCCTTAATAGTGTGGTTTCTTAAGCACATTTTCTTCCTAACTAGTTGCGAAGCTACTACACATTCAGCTTCATACTGAAAGATAATTGAAGACAATCAAGTGAGTGTGTTTGGTATTCTTATTGTATTTATGTAGCTAGCTGTAGGGTGGGCTTGCTTTTATACTGAGGAAGTACAATACAGTATTATCTTTACAGTTTCATAGGACCATGGAAGAAACAAAGCTATCAGAATTTCTGCTGAACTTACTACCAAGTACTAACCCAGTATATCCAGTTGTATAATAAAGCTATGGAAATAAACATCATCCTGGTCCAATAAGGCTGCAATTCTATGTGCACTTAGCTGGCAGTAAATTTCCATTGAGTCAAATGGGGTATACCTCTGAAAAGGCATGTATAATGTTGCAGTATGTGTCTTATATGTAATCAATTACATTTTGCAAATCTTGATTATTTATTGACCATGTATTGCATTTATCTTTCCCTCCCCTTCTAGGTCTTACAGCAGCAGCATCACTTGTGTCTTTGGCATGGGCATTGGCTTCATATCAAAAAGCTCTTCGTGATTCCCGTGACGACAAAAAACCAATCAGTTACATGGCTGTAATAATCCAGTTTTGTTGGCATTTCTTCACAATCGCAGCCAGGGTGATTACTTTTGCTCTATTTGCCTCTGTTTTCCAACTATACTTTGGGATCTTCATAGTCCTCCACTGGTGTATCATGACCTTTTGGATTGTCCACTGTGAGACGGAATTCTGCATCACTAAGTGGGAAGAAATTGTCTTCGACATGGTTGTTGGAATAATTTATATCTTTAGCTGGTTTAACGTCAAAGAAGGAAGGACACGCTGTAGGCTTTTCACTTATTATTTTGTGATCCTTTTGGAAAACACTGCCTTGAGTGCTCTTTGGTACCTGTACAAGGCTCCTATGATTTCTGATGCATTTGCCATACCGGCACTATGTGTGGTGTTCAGCAGCTTTTTAACTGGCATTGTTTTTATGCTGATGTACTATGCCTTCTTTCACCCCAATGGACCAAGGTTTGGGCAGTCACCAAGCTGTGCTTGTGAGGACTCAGTAGCTGCCTTTACTCTTCCTCCAGAGGTAGCATCAAGTACTTTAAGGTCTATTTCTAATAACCGGAGTGTCACAAGTGAACGTGATCAGAAATTTGCAGAAAGAGATGGGTGTGTACCTGTCTTTCAGGTTAGACCTACTGCACCTTCTACACCTTCCTCCCGACCACCAAGGATTGAAGAATCTGTCATTAAAATTGATCTATTCAGGAACAGGTATCCAGCATGGGAGAGACATGTATTGGACAGGAGCCTAAGGAAGGCAATTTTAGCTTTTGAATGTTCTCCTGCTCCCCCACGACTACAATATAAAGATGATGCCCTTATACAGGAGCGGCTGGAATATGAAACAACACTATAGACAATTTAAAAAACAAAAACAAGTCAATGCAGCGGCTGTGATCCATCCAGATAACAGGGTGGCAGTAGGGCCGTGGCAATAACTTCAAACTTTATTCTACAACAGAGCAGCAGACATTAGTAGTGTCCTTAGTCTGGTGGCCATCATGATTATCATTTGATCCACTGTCCCACAGTCTGTCTGCAATACACCTAGAAGCAGCAGCATCCAAGAGCCTCAAAGAATCCATTATTCTCACTGGGAAATAGACCTAGTCCAATGACTTCCTATTTCTTTCAATGTGCACTGCATAGGATTTAAAAACAAAATGAAGGAAGGTCTGAATGAATAGCATCACTGTACCAATTAGTGCTTTTTTAAAATTTTAGAGAAACTTAAATTATTGATGTTTGCATAGTTATTTACAAAATGAAGAAGCAGTTTGGAAAAACTTGTCAAAATAGCTTATTTTGTAAAATGGCAATATTACTGTTATGTGAACTCTAGTTTCTATAAAAGGAATTATATAGTTCTCTTGTCTTGAGTAGGTAAATCATGAAATATTTGCAAAAGGGTTATCATTGAAAAAGACATGGATGTTTTTTTTTCTTTGTCTAGAACTGAGTTAAATTCTAATCAAGCAAACTACATGCGTTGAACTTGTAAACAAAAGAGCGATTCAAAATTTATGGTTTTTTTACAGAAATCAATATTATATGTACAACTTCAGGGTTTTTTTAAAAGAAATTCTATGCAGATGACCCCACCCCCAGATTCCAGCAACAACTGGAAGCTCTATTGTTTAGATGTAAATTAAATGATAATCATGATTAAGTTCTCAATTGCAAAAAAGAAAGAAAGAAAGAAAGAAAAAGCAAGGAAGAGAGAAAATAAAAGCAAGAAGGTGCACACCTTGTATTCTAAACCTTCTGGAGATCATATTCAGGAAAGCATTGAGAGATAAATAGTCCCTTTGCCTATTCATTTTTCCCCAGGATCTAAGATGCATGGCTATCCATGTGAACATATTCAGAAGGTATGATAATAGACCTCAGTATCCCAAGCTCTTCTAGTGCCAATCATTGTGTAACAGTAAGATTAATATTGTTGTCTGAGGGACAGCAAATGGGAGACACACATCTGAAAGAAGCAAGAAGCTGGGAAGAACAAGCCTACTTTCCATGTTTACAGAGAACACTGGTCCTAAGATGAAAACCAGCTATTTGGTTGTAAGTATATATAGTAAATAAAAAGGGCAAAATCCTATTGCAAAAAAAAAAAAATTAAAATAAAATGTGCATGTAAGGGCAATTGCACAAGAGATTTTTGCATTTCCTGGGCCATTGGTCATGTAATCAAGCATGTTTGAAAGAAACCCACTTCATAGCCTACTGCTAAAATTATCTGTTCTTTTCTGCCTTTATTCAAATGAAAATTAACTGCAGTTTGTCTGGGTCAAGCACATGACCAAGCATATCATCCTGTATGTCAGGGGTCTCAAACATGCGGCCCGGGGGCCATTTGCGGCCCGCTGGATGATAGTTTATGGCCCCTGCCTTGCCTAACCCCCAGCACCCACGTGTCCTCTGCTGTTAAGAGTAAAAAAAAGCCTCTCCTCACTCACCGGCTTTCCCCCAAGACAACACCTCTTGCACCCTCCATCCGGAACTGCAGCCTGCCAGCCAGCCTGCCTGTCTGCGGATGGAGGGTGCAAGAGGCGTTGTCTTGGGGGAGATCCGGTGAGTGAGGCATGCTGCTGGCCCTTTTCCCTAAGTGCCCGAGCCGTCGCTGAGCGATGCCTGAGAGCAAAGCTCGCTCCCGGCCCATCCTCAAAGAGCGCCTCCAAGCCGCCAAGAGCAGCTGCCGCTGCCTCTTCCAGAGAAGTGGCTCTGTGTCTCTCTTTCTCTCTTGTTGCCCCCAGCACCAGCTTCAGCGCCCGGCAGTGCTTCCTCCTCCTCCTCCTCTTCGACCTGCTTCAGCCGCCTCAGCTCTGGAGGGTGCCTGGGCTTGCCTCGCAAAGTTTGCTCCCCTGTCATGGTGGGCGTAGCTGCTGCTGAGTGTGCCTTTTTTTGAGGGGGGCTTTCAGAGGAAGTTTGCTGGACCTCCATGTGTGTGTTTGTGTGCGTGTGTGCGCACGCACCTGTGGGGGGCTCGCCCTGTTCTGTTTAATTTCGCAGGTATCGATGGGGGCTTTTCTCCTTTGGCAAGGTGAATTCTGTGAGGGTTTTTAAATTTTACATCATGCCCTCCTCCCCCCTGCTAGGCAGTTGCTGGCACTCCCTTCCTTCTCTGCTTTTTCATCCTAGTGGTGATGGTGGTGGTGGTGAGGAAGGAGCCGGAGGGGGTCGTGGCTGGCTACGAGGGTTCTCGCGCTTGTCCTCCTCCTTGGAGCCCTAGCCGGCCTAAGGAACTCCCGGGTGGCTTGCTTGGGCTCTTGCTCCGCTTGGCGGAAAATGTGATGTGGCCCATCCTCACCCAGACTCTGCCTCCAGTGGCCCCCAAGTGAATTGAGTTTGAGACCCCTGCTCTATGTGATTGGTGGAAGACCAGCCCAGGAAACAGGAAACTCCACTTGTAATTACCCTTATATAATCACATAAGGCAATAAGATTCTGCTCACAATAAGCCAAGCTGTTTGAAAGGTTTGTGTTTAAAAAAAACAAAACCTGAAACTGGACAAAACCTGTTTCAGTGCATTCACATATGAGACATGGTTTAGCATTACAAGATTGAGTTTTCATTACATTTGTGCATTCCCCCTGCTTCCCTGGGTTTTGTACATTACCTCTACCCCGCCTCCAGTTGACACTCCCAGCTTAGTTATGATGACCCTGGACATTTCAACCTGCACTTCAAATTAATTAAAAATTGATGCTTTGTCAGAGCCCTCAACTAACAATGTTAACTCTGGTCGTTTGAAAGAAACCTGATCCATAACAACTGTCTAAAGCTAACAGTTTTTTTTTGTTCTTTGTTTTTGTTTTAAAAAATCAAGTTAAAGCTAACTGCATTTTTTTTCTGAGTTTGGCTACCTTGGTAAACAAAGGTTAAAATAAAATGGGAGTGAAATAATCTAAACTCCATAGAGCTACACCACAGGCAGAGAGAGACATTGGCAAGCCTGAGGCTCCTCATGACTCATTCTTATTCTGCTAAATCATGGCTTGGAGATGCTTGTACAAGAGTAGTTTTGCTTACAAAATGAAATACCTCCCTCTGTCAAGCTAAGTGTATGTTTTGTTATGGTAAAAGTATCCCTTGATGGTGCTTTCAGTTGCATTAAAGGTGCAAATCAAAATTTGATAGTAGTTTTTTTAGCAAAACTCGGTGCAAACTGAAACAGCTCATGGAATATGTCAATATTTTTGTAAAGCAAAAATGTTACTTTTTTATAGACTCTGAATATTTTCTCACATTAACTCATTCTCTTTCATAACTTAAAGATCAATTTATACTTACATTAGCTGGGCCCTTGTAATTTAATATGACAGTGTTTGTGATGTCATATTAATTTGTTTTGCAATGTAATGCCAGATGAAAGTCTCCATATGGGTACTTTTAGACTCATGTGAAAACAGTAAAACCTACATATACAGTACATGATTCAAATTCAGTGTCATGAATATATTGGATGTAATGATGATTAAACCTTGATTTTCCCCCCCCTGGGGTGTTTGATAGAGAGATAGAGAAAAATTCACTCGAACAAACTAATGCTATGTTTATGGTGTTGTAAACAAATTGCAAACACGATGGCCTACTGTTTATGAAACATAAGAATCTCACAGTGCATTGTGGGATCTGAGTCTGCTACTTTCTAGCTAGGTATACTTTTGAGGAAACTATAACCTCATCATGAATCTGCACTGTCAGAAACTTCAGTAACTAGTAACTACACATAAGGAGCCACCTCAAGGTAGGACTTTAAAAAATTGGAGGAGTAGGTGTGAGAAACAATCATTTGTGTGTGATTAGCCAACAAGAGAAGCCATTCAACTCTGATAGTTTGACAAACTTTCAGAGATACATATATTAAAGAATATGAGTAAGTGTTGCAATTGTGAGAACACTCAGTCCCTGAATGGTTTGCAAACAGCTGACATTTCTTGCAGAACTGTCTTTGCAAAGAAATGTCATAGTGCATAGAAAGCCATAGGAATTAATGCTGGCTAGGATATTTTTGGAAACTAGCATCCAAAAATGAAATTTTTCCAGCTCTGATGCTCTGCACATTATTGAATTTCCTATTTTAGTAGAGAGTTATGCTTAGTAAACCTTGGGGTTTCTGCCAGCTTTACAGTTCTATGAGTCTGTGATTGTACAGTGGGGTCTCAGTTTACAAACTTAATCCGTATTGGAAGGCAGTTTGTAAGTCGAAAAGTTCATAGGTCGAATCTGCATTTCCCATAGGAATGCATTGAAAACCATTTAATCCGTATCTGCTCTTTTCCATCCATAGAAACTAATGGGAAGCTGCTATTCCGCCTTCTGCCACTAGAGAGGGGATATTTTTTTTTTCTTAGGTCAAGAAAAGTTCAGGAAAGGAGGGGGAGGCAGGGAACAGTTTTAAAAAGCACTTTTGAAATCTTTTTTTTTCAACGAAGCCAATTTTAAAGCATGTTTTAAAGCATGTTGTACTGATTTTTTCAGCACAAAGACACACAGGCAGGCTTTTTAGATGCTGAGCAAGCCTCCCCAAGCCTCTTCAGAGCCAGCCAATCAGCTGTTAGGTGGAGAGAGGAGGGGGCAGGAGCAGAGAAAAGCACAAAATGGCTGCCAGGCTCCCTTCTGGGTGTCAGCTTTTATCTGTTTGCTGCTCTTTTTCCTGCAGTTTGGGGGCTACCAAGGCCTGGTAAGTGACTTTCTTTTATTTATGTTTAAGTTTCTGACCTTTTTTCCCCCTCCAGAAGCCTCTAAGGGGAGGGAAGGGGCACTTTTTTCCTGTTTGTAACTCGAGGGAAGTTCGTATGTTGAGTATGCAATTTCCTATCGGGCGGGTTCATAAGTCAAAAAGTTCATATGCAGAACCGTTCGTAAGTCGAGACCACACTGTATTGCCTTCCAGACAGACTAAGGTCCATTTCATCTTCCATAGTCTTGTGGGCACTTTTATCTTGTTGCTGTCCTGAGTAAAGGTGAGGCAAAGGGAAGGAGGGGAAGTCTATTAGATTCTGTTTGGTATTGTTATTGTTGAGCTTATGGTTGCTATGGATCTTAAATTTGTGGAACCAGACTTCAGACTATTATAATGAAGTTGCAACTTCCTTTTTGAACAACTAATTCTACATGCATTCATCACGTTACAGCTTTTTGAACTGATTTCTCAGCTTTATAACTTGCTAAACTAAGTGGGCCTTACACCCCAGTACATGTGCATAGAAAATTGATGTATCTATTCTTATTAGGAAAATATACTGCCAAACTTAGTTTCTTAGCCTATAGAAAGCAGACCACAGAAGGGTGCTTTCTTAGATGGCAGGTCCCAGAATTGTCAAGTCGAATTGGTCAGTTACTATACTTGCTGAGGGAATCTGAATGGTTTACTCTAAAAAAGAGAGAAATGTCAAGGTGTGCTGTGAATCTGATTATCTAATACAATACAGTCTACAGCAGGAAACAAAACAACATTTAACTGTGGTGAGGATTTAGGAAGGATGTGCCACACTGGAGTGGTTCTTGCTCTATGTGAAGTCAAACATGGCAAAGATAATTAAGCTATTTCACCTAACGAAATTCAGTTTGTATCTCTGAAGAAAATGACCCATTTATTGCTGTAGTTTGCCCCCATCCCCAGCTTTATTTTGCATTTTTTCCTGCAAATCAAATGACTCTGTTATTTGTGGGGGATTTCTGTGGCATTGTCCTGGATCAGAATGGGGAGAGGGGTAAATACAACTGCCAACCCATGAGAATATTGACAGAAGTCCATGTGGGTAGCAAAATGTCTTTAATTTATTATTTACAAGCACCAGGAATGTACACAGCTGTGTTACATGGTTTCCATCTCTTCATTTATCCTCAAAACAATCATATAATTTAAGCTTGGCTTAGAAATACTGCTTACCCTAAGTAAACTTTATTACTAAGACAGGATTTGAACTCAGATCTTCTTTTTCCAAATCCAGTACTCTAGCCATCACATTATGCTAGTGTTCTCAGATCAGTAACTGTTGTATAAATGATGCTAAGGCTGAAACATATTGGCAGAAAAAAGTGGACTAATTATTGTGCATAGTATGTAAAATTTCATATGAATTTTCATAATACAAAATGTGCATATTATGCTAATGACACCAACAAATTTGCGTAATATCAAATATTATGCAAATTAAGGGACTCAACTCTGAAAAATTGGAATAGGTAAGCCTTTCCCCAAGATGGATTTAGAAGGCAGAATGGGATTAGCCTGAAAGAGTGTATCTTCATGCACAAATTCCCATGCATGAAAATTAGAAATCAGGCTGTTTTTAGCAGAGGAGTCCTAGCATGAACAATCAGTAGATATTGTGGGAATGTGCAGATTTTCTCTGATTAAAAAAATGGAAAATGGCGTCATCTGGACATGGTAAAATTCCAAGAATTAGGAAGGTCCTTTGCATAGGTAAAGCTCCATCTGTGGGTACATAACACTATTTTTATAGAGTCGGATATAGTTCTTCTGTCTCGTGAGGTGTGTTTTTTTAAAAATGGAAGATAATTTCATTATTTAATTCTCTCTGATTAGGCACTACAACCCTATTCATGTAACATGATCATGTAAGAGCAACCATGTAAACATTTCCCCACCTCCAGCAGGCTCTCCTTTGCATGTCCAGGTTCTTAGGAGCTGTGAGATCAGGTCATAGCTGGCCAAGTAACTGATCCTGCAACAAGTGGTCCTGCTGAAGGGGACGTACAGCCAGAGGACTGAATACATATGACAATGTCAACCGGATTTTGACCTAAATGCCTAGAAGATTCACAATTTAGCCCATTAGTATAGTTTTCAAAGTAGGAGTACTGTATAAACAAAAACAGTCACAAGGAGCATATATAATATATGTAAATGAAGTTGCTATGTCATATTCAGCAGACCAAATCTTTCAGGAAATGACTGCCATATTTCTAAATCTAGTTAAACAAGATACTACTTGTTCATATTTTGTCCAGTCCACACCCAGTTAAGTTGTAAACATCATATGCTGTTTAATCCAAGTTGGAAGTGATATAAGTAGCAGATAAAGTCTTTGAGGTTCTGTGCCAAGAGAGCTGAAGGTAAGAAGTCTCTCCAGTAACATCTATGTGCTTGTGATGTAGTGATGCATCACAGGAGCACTTGTACTGCCAGTGATTTCTTCTTGGTCATCCAAGGGCAGGTACAAGAAGCTTCAGCATGTGATTTCTTATAGGGGTGCTAAGTAAGTGAAAGAGACCGTAAGAACAGAGCAGTAATGGTGTCGTCTAGATATGACTTAGAGATTCTCCCTTGACATTCATAACTGTTGTTGAATTAAGAACTGGAAAAACATGGCCTATTTTTGACCCATACACACATTTTACAATGGTTAGATAATATTATCTCTCAGTTCAGCAAAAAAAGGAGACGATAATATGAGAACTGGAAACTCTGGGCATCAAGACATATATAAATAAAATAAAATGCAAGAATATCAAAGTTACTGAATTTTTTTCATGCAGCTACTCCACAACATTTGTGCACAGAGCACTAAAATGTGGATAAAAATAATGGTGTATCTGTTAATATTGGGTCCAAATAAATCTATCTAACAGTAAAAACATAAATTTCGCATCCTGCTGCCCCATTGTTACATCAAACTCAGAAATGTCCCTAATCCTTCAAAGAGATTGGGGGGGGGGGCTTGTGGGAGGCTACAGCAGATGAGTGTGTCCATTCTACCATCAGTATTTGTTTCACATTTAAGGACTTTATTTGAACAGGATCCAGCCCTGCTTTAAAATATTGTTAAACTTGTCAATTAAGCAAGAGTTTTCATTATTAGAAATCAAACTATTTATTTTAAAAATTCAACTTTTCCTGAAATTCTGTTTCAGAAGTGTTGTCATTCCTTTAGAAAAATCACAGCATTCAATTTAAGATTCTGGACTAAATTCAATTTTAATTGCAATTAAAGCAAACCTATTAAAATAAATGAGATCTACATTAATATAAACTAATACTCTCACATCTCAAGTGATTTTTTTTAAAGGTTGAACTTATGCCCTTGCTTTAGCTGGCAAAATTACCAAAAGTGGTCTGAAGTTGTAGAGATTTTTCCATATTCTTTGTGTCTCTCCATTCACGGAATTCATTCACACAAAACGAAGAGACTGGTTTTAGTACACTAAGAGTCTATTACTACCTTTTTTGCCTGTGATTAGTTTGTTGTTTTCATATTCCATCAGGTTGCTTCCAACCTATATTGACCTTCATAAGAGTTTTGAGGCATGTCCAATGTTCAAGTGGCAGTTTATGATTGCCGCACCCTTCAGGGAGTTTCCATGGCCTAGTGAGGATGTGAATCTGGGTCTCCTGAGTTCCAGTGTGCTATTCAACCTACTACGTCACATTGGCTCACAGTCATTGAACAACAGGAAGCAGAATATGGTGTTCTTATTCTAAAGAAATGTATCTTTCATTTCTTCATGCTGCTTCAGAGAGTAGCTGATGTAAAAGTTAAGAATCTCTTCCTTTCATTGAATAGCCAGGCTATGAAAAAGAAACCCCTAGTCTGCAATATCTAAGCAGAGCTATTAGTGATAAGACTTTTTGGAAGTCATTATTTCAGAATCTCCATAAGTCAGGATCAACTTTATAGCACACAATTATAGTGTAGCAACAATCTAACCCAATATCGTGCTTGTGACTTCTGCCTTGATCTAGAATCTGGATCTAGAATATACATAAAAACCTGACAAGGAAGGAAGGAAGGAAGGAAGGAAGGAAGGAAGGAAGGAAGGAAGGAAGGAACCGGGCCAATTTTAGTAGAATATAATCCAGTAGGGCTTAATATCTGACAATTAAGATGCATAATGATGCACTGTAAAACACATGCTTCATTATGTCCTGTTGAAGTCCCTAGGATTTGTAAATGCTCAGCATGAGCTGTATTTTGCTATTTGTTTTCATTCATTGTATAAAAGTTTGTTTTGTCCACTCCACTAATGCAGACTCTGGGTACAAGAGGATTTGATGGTTAGTTGTTTTTTGAGTTTATTTATTCTTTCACTGAACATGAAAATACTTCAAACAATTAATATGGATGTGCCTTGAATTCTTCTGCAGAATTTTTTAAATAAACCTAGCTTATAAAATAGTTCACAAACATATAAATATATAAACATTTCTTTAGGACAAAGAATATGAAAATATTTAGCATTAATAAAGTGTGGTTTTACCAGCCTTCCTATTTTTACTTCTAGTGGGTTGGAGAGCTGAAGAAAGAAAGTGTATAAAAACCATCATGAGACATATATCTGTGAAGATTTTCAATCATCCAGGTGAGGTTATCTGGAAGTTGAGTCATGGCAACTGGACTTCTTTCTTATTAGGTTAAAATGTTTTCCTACTCATTCAAGTAGCTGAAGAGACTAAAGAAGCTACTTGGATGAGTAGTGAAACATTTCAACCTAATAAGAAAGAAGTCCAGTTGCCATGACTCAACTTCCAGATATCATGAGACAGTGTACCTTTACTCAGAATAAAGAAGGCCACATTTTTTTGATTATAGCTACATATTTTGGCACAGCAGAGAGCAACAGATCCAGCTGCCAGATCGTCTACATCCCAGTTGTTATAACTAGTCCAGCCTACATGCTGGAAACCACCTAGGGCCACAGAAAAGGAGAGCCCATGTGGGCATCAGCCATTGTGTAAAGCTTGCATGATAGCCCTCAAACCAGGCGCATGCTTGGAAGCCTGGACCCAAAAGTCCTTATAAAGGGCTACATACCTCCATTTACCCGTACCAGAATGGGCACGGCTTAATACTCTCATTGTTTCTCATGGAAGTTGTGACAGAAGATGAAAAGCATAACATAAAAACCACATGATGTGCTACAAAGGAGGAGAAAATTGGCTGTACCAATTAGCCTGTGGAATTCCTTTTTTAGCTGGTAAAACCCACAGCAATGCGCAATAGAAGTTCTACTAGGAAAACATGCTCCATCAATGAAGATGGGTGCTTGGACATTTGCATTCCGGTAAAAAAATAAAAATAAAAGGCAGACAGCAGAGGAAAACCTTCTACTGTCATTGACATACAGTTGTCAAAAAAAAAATTCCACCTGTATTCAAAGAGCTTTATTGCTCAGGGATAGCTGTCTGGGATTGCTTGTTTTGTGATCTTTGAAATAATAATTATGCCATCAGTTTCTTAAGATTTTTTGAAGACAGCATTTCCTGTATCGAAAGGAATTATTTAATGTGATAAATTATTATCTGTCACTATGAACAGATGTTTTTAAAACTTTTTTTCCTAACTAATAACATATATTCTTTAAATGAGCTTCATTTTTCAGCAGAAGCAGGCTTCCACTCACGCATCTCTTCTGGATGGGGAACAAGGTGTTCAGTTTCTCAGCCCTAAATACTAGCTTGAATATAGCTCTAGGCAGACCCTGAATAGTGTCATGAGCTGTTTGAGACAACACAGGCATAATGAATATCTGGAAATCTTCTTATCCTTGATGAAAGAAGGTATTTTGAGATATGTTTATAAACATTCTGCAAAGAAGTCCTAAATTACATATAGGCAATTTAGGACTTCTTTGCAGAATGCTTATAAACAGCTTTTGTGCAAAAAAGCATTTTGTGCAAAAAGTTATATATAGAGAGATAGAGCAAGAGCCTATTATATATAAATAACAAAACTGTATTTTTGCACAAAAGCTGTTTGTAAACATTCTGCAAAGAAGTCCTAAAATGCCAAAAAAGCAGAATAAATACACATAATAATGCCCAAGAAGAACAAAACATTTAAAATGTTTCCTTGTCATAGAGAAGAACAAAATAATCAAATCTGTATTTCTTTTTTTTTTCTGATAGGAAGTGGAGTCCAGATTAATTTCCACCTTCCAGGTTCTCCTTTCCCACCCGATATCTGATAGGCACTATTCAGAGTTGATATGAACTAAAACATGTTATAAAAGGTCTATGAATCCCATGACATAAACCCAGTGTTAGTCTCTTCTAGATTTAACAAATCAGTTAATAATAATCATGTTCCATTAAATTGATTCTGATTTACAACAACCCTTGCTGGAGTTTCCTACGTACAAACTGCACAAAAGTAGTTTATCAGTCCAAGTGGTTTATCTTTCTTGTGGGGATACTCTGGGACTACGTAGCTTGCCCAAAGTTACCCAGGCTGGCTTTTCTCCCAAGAGACACATTGAGGACTCCAACTCACTGAGCTATAGAGTGGAGGTACCTAAATGGTAAATATGGCAGTACTTTTGTTGGGATTAACATTGGATTGAGCCTTCTGCCTTTACTTATTTATTATTGCTATATTTAAATCAGCAAGAGACTCTCCCAGCATATCACATTCTGCTAAGCTAAATATATCTCCTCTATTCCACCTATGTTCCTGTTTTGATGCTAGCTGAGTTGGAGATTTTGATGGTCAAGACTCAAAATAAGCTGTTGTGGTGCATATTTCAATACCAGCACTTTGACGTCATAATCTTATATGGTTATCAGCTGAAACCTAAAGAGCAGCCTTCTTTTACATATCACACTAAAATCAATGCTTCTTGAATTAGGCCAGTACAAATTACTCTCTTTTATTGTCCTCATCCAAGTGTTTACAAGTCATGAAAGACTTAAGAAACTATAAATTTCCAATAAACTCTTCTATGTTGACTGTAGTACCCCATATTTTGTCATTAAGACTACTGAATCTGGCTGAGTTGGCAACTTCAATGCACTCCTTCTGCACTGGTACCATTTTCAAACTAGGGGAATAACTAAATATTTAACAGAATACTTTTAAGTGCGTTTACCTGTGTGTAAGCAAAGGTCCGCTTATTCAGTGGGTCTTACACTTGAGTAGATATATGTAGGCTTGCACTGATAATTGTTCAGTGAAGTAAAACTAAGGTGAAGTATTTCCAGGCCACATACATTCCAAAGCAAGCTTTGAAATTCTATGCAGCAGAGCTAGGTTGAAGGGTGAAGAGCCACTCTGAAGTTGTATCACAGTAAATCATTATGAAGCTTACTCTTCCTTTCCATCCCACACAGAATTCTCTAATTCATCTGCTTTGCAACCTGTTGGTTCAATTCCATGGATTTCCAGTACTGTGAAAGAGGACTGCCTCATCTTGAAATCATATGCTTAATGTTTTAATGTTTTAAATGTTGTTTAATTTTTTTAATGTTTTATCATATCA